ACGTGCAGATATACAAGCAATACCCACGTGCACGCAAAAACACAAATACCCCCCCCCCCCCATATAACTTAAACAGACTGATGGGACAAGTTCTGTTTTGCGAGCACGGCACGCAGAGGGGCTGGGTGACCGACACCACGCCCGGCCGCTTTTGTCTCCCCAGTGGTGATTTGTACAGAATGCAGCATGTACTCATTTAAGGCCGAGACGACCTATGGGAGGCCCGGGATCGGTTCAAATTTCCGCCAATGTTACTGGTCGTGAGCGGGAATCGAACGTGGGTCGCCGGGTTCGGAGCACACCTACAGTGAGGGGAAAAAAAAGTATTTGATCCCCTGCTGATTTTGTACGTTTGCCCACTGACAAAGAAATTATCAGTCTATAATTTTAATGGTAGGTTTATTTGAACAGTGAGAGACAGAATAACAACAACAAAATCCAGAAAAACGCATGTCAAAAATGCTATAAATTGATTTGCATTTTAATGAGGGGACTAAGTATTTGACCCCTCTGCAAAACATGACTTAGTACTTGGTGGCAAAACTCTTGTTGGCAATCACAGAGGTCAGACGTTTCTTGTAGTTGGCCACCAGGTTTGCACACATCTCAGGAGGGATTTTGTCCCACTCCTCTTTGCAGATCTTTTGCAAGTCATTAAGGTTTCGAGGCTGACGTTTGGCAACTCGAACCATCAGCTCCCTCCACAGATTTTCTATGGGATTAAGGTCTGGAGACTGGCTAGGCCACTCCAGGACCTTAATGTGCTCCTTCTTGAGCCACTCCTTTGTTGCCTTGGCCGTGTGTTTTGGGTCATTGTCATGCTGGAATACCCATCCACGACCCATTTTCAATGGCCTGGCTGAGGGAAGGAGGTTCTCACCCAAGATTTGACGGTACATGGCCCCGTCCATCGTCCCTTTGATGCGGTGAAGTTGTCCTGTCCCCTTAGCAGAAAAACACCCCCAAAGCATAATGTTTCCACCTCCATGTTTGACGGTGGGGATGGTGTTCTTGGGGTCATAGGCAGCATTCCTCCTTCTCCAAACACGGCGAGTTGAGTTGATGCCAAAGAGCTCCATTTTGGTCTCATCTGACCACAACACTTTCACCCAGTTGTCCTCTGAATCATTCAGATGTTCATTGGCAAACTTCAGACGGGCATGTATATGTGCTTTCTTGAGCAGGGGGACCTTGCAGGTGCTGCAGGATTTCAGTCCTTCACAGCGTAGTGTGTTACCAATTGTTTTCTTGGTGACTATGGTCCCAGCTGCCTTGAGATCATTGTAGTTCTGGGCTGATTCCTCACTGTTCTCATGATTATTGCAACTCCACGAGGTGAGATCTTGCATGTAGCCCCAGGCCGAGGGAGATTGACAGTTCTTGTGTTTCTTTCATTTGCGAATACCAACTGCTGTCACCTTCTCACCAAGCTGCTTGGAAATGGTATTGTAGCCCATTCCAGCCTTGTGTAGGTCTACAATTTTGTCCCTGACATCCTTGAAGAGCTCGCTCTTTGGTCTTGGCCATGGTGGAGAGTTTGGAATCTGATTGATTGCTTCTGTGGACAGGTGTCTTTTATACAGGTAACAAGCTGAGATTAGGAGCACTTCCTTTAAGAGTGTGCTTCTAATCTCAGCTCGTTACCTGTATAAAAGACACCTGGGAACCAGAAATATTTCTGATTGAGAGGGGGTCAAATACTTATTTCCCTCATTAAAATGCAAATCAATTTATAACATTCTTTCCATGCGTTATTCAGTCTCTCACTGTTCAAATAAACCTACGATTAAAATTATAGACTGATCATTGCTTTGTCAGTGGGCAAACGTACAAAATCAGCAGGGGATCAAATACTTTTTTCCCTCACTGTACACCGACACACACGCGCGCGCGTCTGCGTGTCCACAGGTGTGGGACACACAGCCGTGTGGCCCAGTCATGCACAGGTCGGGGAACCCGCAAGACCGGCCAGGTGAGCTCTCTCGATACGGGTGCAGGCGTCATCGCGCGGGACGGATCCGACTCTGACGTGCTGGGGTTCGTGGTCTCGGTTCGATTCCAAACTATGGGGGAGAAGTTACGGCGATTGTGGGAAGTGCCTCGGACCGCAGAGTGTCCGCACACGCCTCCGTGTTCGACTCCGGGCTGTGGTGTGACCGGTGACGTGTTCAGATGAGGTGAAGGTGACGCGAACTATCGCTGCAAAGCGCAGCCACTGAGAAGGGAGATTGAAAAACAAACGGTGTGGGACGGCATGGAACTGTATAGGAGAAGCAAAGGTGGCATAGCATCGTGCATGCAACGCCTGGAGACCCTGAACCTGGAGCCTGGAGCCTGGACCTGGAGCCTGGACCCTGAACCTGGACCCTGAACCTGGAGCCTGGACCCTGAACCTGGACCCTGAACCTGGAGCCTGGACCTTGAACCTGGACCCTGAACCTGGACCCTGAACCTGGAGCCTGGCTGGACCCTGCACCTGGAGCCTGCAGACCGAGTACCCGGAGCCGTCTCGGCGTGAGTTTCCGCCTCCCTGCGGCTGTCTTGGGTGGGATTCACGGTGAGTGGCGGCTTTGCGGCCGGGATGTGAATGAGTGGGAGAGTCGGGTAGGAGGTGTTCAACTCGGCACGGGGTATCCGTGTGGACTCGGGCAGACTTTAACCCAAGGCCGTAGCCATGAAGTCAACATTGGGGGGGACCAAATCTTCCAGGGTGTCTGGGGGTCCCAACCCAGAAAAATATCTAAATTTGAAAATTAATTTCCTGCCTAAAATATTAAAAAAAAATCACTAACACATGGGATGGACTTTTTATTTATTTTTTACAAAATTGTCTATTAGTGTATTGTATTACATTGCTCTGTTTTTACTTTTTTTACCATTTCTTGTTTCATTGTATGTAGTGCAGAGATTAGGGATTTATAAAGTACAACCATAACCACAATCATATAAACAGAAATCTATGCATTGATTTATATGAAGACAAGTCCAGATATTTTTACCAGTCTCGTCCCTTCACCTGATGAAGGCCGCTTGTGTTGTGGCCGAAACGTCGTGAGAATATTATTGTGTTATTTTATTTTATCAATTTATTATTGTATTCTCATTCTACGTGACTTTACCGAAAGAACCAAAGAAGAAGTCCAGATATTGTGGCCAATGTTTTGCAAATTGTTGTTTTTATTTACAATGCATAGCAATTTTTATAGCAATATATTGGGGGGGGGGGACATTTTGAGCATATTTGAATATTGGGGGGGGGGGGGTTGTGTCCCCCCAATATATATTATAATTACGGCCTTGCTTTAACCCCTCACACTCACAGCCCAATTGATGCGCGCTATGTCTCCGCTGGAAAGCTCATTGAGTTTCAAGCTACACGTAATGCCAGTTTACGCCCAGTGAACTGTAAGTGGAGGTGTTACTGGGTATATGTTTACGTATGAGAAAGGCCTCTATATAGTATAACGTTGTAATACAATCGCACTCTGGAATCCAATGGCACGAAAATCTGGAATAAATAAGTATACGTGCAAATGCACCACCAGACAAACGTACATCCACAGACCTTGTGGCCTATCCAGTGCTGGATAAGGGCCTCCCCGCTATGTGTGTTGAACTTCTTTCGCACCGTACGTAACCATGCTTCACCACGCTGATCAGTTCGGGTTGGCGAAGGCGGGGAGCATAGGCGTATAATGCACGGTTAATTTTTCCACACCGCCCTTCGCTGTCCATCACAGTCCAAGCAACCTATAACACCTGTCACGTACATGATAGTCGTCCATCCAAGCAATAACAAGGCTCGAAAAATCCTTACTTAGCTCATGAGATCTGATGAGATGGGTTGATACGGTCGTATGGCGTTCCTCTGGCTGTGTACGCGATGATTCACGTTGCCTGGCAGCGTCATATCACAGTGCATGTCTCTTTCCTGATTGTCTGGATTTGTCTCTGCTGATGTCCCAGGGACGCGAGCGGTCTCCTCGGCAGCAGCCTCGCTAATGAATTCCTCGCACACAGAGGAGAGTGGTTGGTTCATGTCGCGAGTGAATCGTTTATTTGCCAAGAATAGGTTTAGTCTTTTCCTGCAATAAAACAGGTGTTAAGATGTTCAAACATCAAATAGAAACCCTTTGCGAGGCATCAAGTCTGCATTAATCACACGTACTCGTGGCAAAACGTGCAAACAAACATGCTCTGAAATCTTGACTTACAGCTTTCGTGACTGCAGGAATTCATATTCTTTGGATGTTTCGGTAAAGTCACGTAGATAGGTTCAATGAAATAACAAAAAACTACGAAGTTTCGATCGCAACACAAGCGGTCGTCATCAGGATAATAATAATCAGGATGACGACCGCTGGTGTTACGATCAAAACGTCGTAGTTTTTTGTTATTTTTGTTATTTGAACCGATCTACGTGACTTTACCGAAAGACCCAAAGAGCATGCTCTGCTTATCATAGATGGCATCGTCTTTTAAACTGATTGGCTTACATCAGCGACAGACTTCTTTATTGCCTCGTCTCAACAGTGTCAGACCAGAGCACAAACCTAAAAAATAGAACAGTACTAAGACAATGCAAGTATCAGAGCATGTATTGCACGGGTTGAGCAGTTACATTTATGGGACGCCTTTTTTATTTACTTATTTATAACCAGACGAGGAGAGCAGTGGATGGACTCGGATGACCACAGCCAGGGTTGATTTATTTCCACAGTCAGGCGACACGGGCGGGGACTCTCAAGTCAGACAGATTGTGATAATAATATCAATAATGAGCATTTATATTTTAAAAGGCGCCCTTTAAAGGCGACGTTCTCAGTGAAATCCGAAGCACAGAGCCCTGTGCGTAATGTGTGAAGCGTCTTTGAGTTGTGGACCTTTCGGCGGCGAACAGACACGTGGTGGCGAATCATCGCCGCGGAAGAGAGGGAACACATGGCAGGGCTTGTTGTGGTGTTGTGTAGGGGCACCAGGGATGGTAGGGCTTGTTGTGGTGTTGTGTAGGGGCACCAGGGATGGTAGGGCTTGTTGTGGTGTTACTTGTGTAGGGGCACCAGGGATGGTAGGGCTTGTTGTGGTGTTACTTGTGTAGGGGCACAGGAATGGCAAGGCTTGTTGTGGTGTTACTTGTGCAGGGGCACAGGGATAGGAGGAAACAAACTGAAGAGGGAAATTGATGGTGACTTATCGAGCGTGTTACAGGCAGAGGAGAGGAAGAGATTAAACCTGGACTTGAATAGGGGAAGGGTCTTTGGAGTGCAGTTCACTGATTTATCCAGAAAAGTCACACCGAGTCGTACGACTCTTTTTCAGGAGTGTCTTGCATTGGACTTATATTTTAAGTCGTTTTCAGCCAGTTAATGATGGGTGTTTATACATGTGGATTGAAAACCGAAACACCCTGAGAAAATGTTATCAGTCACATGTATTTTTTTCTTCATATTTACACAACTGGATAGTTTGGCCACGTCTTGCTCATTTTTAACCCTTTTAATGGTTGCTGTTTGTACATATTTCCACAGTCCCTTTTGTCAATCCACTGCTGGATGAGTGCCTTGCAAGTCTGTACAAATCATGGGGGTTATTTGACCATACTTCACCGCTGGTTACTGTTTTAAAGGGTTTTAAAATATTGGTTTGGAAATATTGTACGGTTATGTTTTTCATAGATCCAATGTTTTGGGTGTGAAAACAGCAGTGCTTATGCAAATTTTAAGCAATCCGACACCTGCCCCTGTGGGTAAATGTTACTGTTTTACCATTTTTGTTCACGTTTAGAAGTAGATTTCACCGTAATTTTGCGTAAAAGCTTAAATACGTAAAAAAAAACGGTTTAAACGCGTTTATTTACAGAAAATTTGCACTCACAATGGGTATTCCCATAGAACAGCGCCCCCTAGTGGTATAACAGCGCCCCCTAGTGGCCAAAATTTAGTCTTAGCGTAATGCCGAAAAATTATAAATTTCTTCCAGGTCACTCCCTTATCTGGGTCTTCGTCCCCTTCAAGACTGGTCCCAGGTCTCCTCAAGTTGGAACTCCATCTCCACCTGCACTTCGTACAGAGACACCACACATGGTTACAATCATCCACACCTGGTCCAAGGTCGCCACACCACCTTCCACAGCTTAGGTCCCATCTCCACGTGTTAGCACGTTAACATCATATTACACTTTCCACGTTATATACACTTGCCACATCGCATATTTCACCACTCACCTCTATCCAGGATTCGAACCTTGGCACCTATTCGTCTCGGAGCTTGCCTTGCATTGCCTTGAGCCACCGTGTCTTCACACAAGTGCGTGGTGCTCCGCGCGGTGTAGTAATTGCACTGCGCTCAGCTGGCTGTGTAATGTGAACGCTATGACGTCATCGCGTGGGTTTAGATTACGCAATGACGTCATCGCGTATGTTTACAGTCGTGTAATGACATCATTAAACAATTGCAAATACCCCAAAAAAGATATTGCCGGGATTTGAACCGGGTACACAAAGCTCGAGAGGCAATCGTGCGGACCACTGCGCCACAAAGGTTTTGTGATTGCTAAGAACATCCTGGTTTTTAAATCAACAAGCAGTTACATTGTTACCCTGATATGTATTTTTAAAATAAATAAATAAAAAATTCATTTTTTAAAATTACCGTTTCCTTTGTGTTTTTTAACGGTAAAAAAATTATTTTAAAAAAATTAACAAAAATGTTCAACCAAGTTGGCTTTGAACCCTTGTCTGCATGATTCACAACCTCAACGTGCCCCGTGCTACGCCACTGAGCCGTGGTGACGTCACGGGGCTCCACACAGGGCTCTTGATGAAATCACCGCGCGCCTGTAAACAAAAATTTTCATCGTCAGATTTGAACCCAGGTCAATCGGCTCCAAAGGCAGCCAGCCAAAACTTACCGCGAGCCATTGGAGTGAAAAAAAATTTTGGAAACGTAATTTTTTTACAATTTTTTTATGATTGGAATTTATCAAATATATTTTTTATACCAAATTGTTGTATTTTTACACCGGGCTCCGTTACTAACAAACGCATACTCGGGCTCCCACCCAGTATAATAAAGGTCATTGCCCGAAACGTCGCCTCTTATTTATTTATTCCTTTTAGGGGAACCGCGTCTAATGAATTTGTAACGGTGACGTCATTACCTTGGTAGTGCCGTCACTGCAATTGTTCCTGCGCTGCTCGCAACGTGCGTCGTGCGTGATGTCATCGCGCAATGTTAACGTGATGACGTAAAACATGCGTGATTACATCATCGCGTAATGTTCGCAGCATTATGATGATGTAACGGTAATGTTGATATGCTAATAAGACGTGCATGATATACTATGTTAATGATATGTTAATGATATGTTAACGGTGTGTTATGTTGATGCTACGTTGGTGGTTACGTAAGGTGTTAAGCAGCTTCGTAAAAATTCACGTGCGGGAATCGAACCCGGGTGGGCCGCTTCAGAGGCAGCTGGGTCCACCCACGAGGGGGGATCGATGTTTCAGGTTGACATTATAACATTGTTTTTTAATATGGCGATGCTGCTGCAGTGACGTTAACAATAACGTCAGAACGGGACACATTCGTCGAAGACACTGCGGCGATAACAGGAGAGATATTAAATGCGTCGACGTTTCGGGCAATGGCCCTTCTTCATAGTACATCGTTTATTGACGAATTGGGTTGACGTCTTCTGTGTTAAGGTCGCCGTGGTGGCGAGATGTTAACTTCCTCGCCGGCGACGCAAGAGGTCGTGGGTTCGATGGCGGACCCTGACAACGTTCTTGCTTTCGATTTAAATATTTCGTGACTGCAGGGATTCATATTCTTGGTTCTTTCGGTAAAGTCACCACGTAGAAGAGAAACAATAAAATAATAAAAATATAAAACAATAAAATTCTCACGACGTTTCGACTGCAACACAACACAAGCAATCATCATCGGGTGTGAAAACCACAGCAAGAAAATTAAAAAAAACGCCACTTTCTGTCAAATTTCTTGCTGTGGTTTTCACACCTGATGATGATTGCTTGGTGTTGCAGTTGAAACGTCGTGAGAATGTTATTGTTTAATTTTTTTTATTATTTTATTGTTTCCCTTCTACGTGGTGACTTTACCGAAATAACCAAGAATATGACGTTCTTGCTGTTGTGCATTCAGAGTCCGCGTGTTCTCTCTCGCCGTGGTGGCAACGTGAAAACATTTCTCTCCCGTTGTTTCTCCCTCCCCCGCAACCACATTTAGAATCAGCAACCGCGTTCAGATGATTTGGGAATGCTCCTATTAATTCCCACATGTGATATAAGCCACATCGATGAGCTATATAAGGGGCCGTCCATAAATGACGTCACGCGATTTTGGACGTTTTTTTACCCCCCCCCCCCTCGTCACATGGCGTCACAAAAAGTCAGACCCCCCCCCTCAAATATGACGTCACAAAGCTCTGCCCCCCCCCACTCCAAAACCATATTTCCATTTTGAAAATAAAACATGCTTCAAATCGCTTTAAACTATTGCCATTGTAGTGCGTATTTAATGTGGCGCTGCACTCTGATGTTGTAGGAGAAAACATTTATTAACAAGTCTATTTAATTAAGTAGAACGTGTTGTCTACATTTATTTAAAGTTGCGCATTTTGATGTGACGTCACATTTCTCACCCCCCCCCCCCTCCTCGTCACACATCGTCACAAATATCTAACCCCCCCCCCCCCCCAGGTGCGTGACGTCATTTATGGACGGCCCCTCATGTGTGGCCATGTCGCCTCTGGGAAGGGGCTCGCGTCGCTGATCTCGTCAAGCAGAATAAACCATCACGCAACAGCAGCGGCTTTTGGCTCAACCATCGAACAAAGACCGTCAATTGCATCGCGCGCTATTCGAAGCGCTTCTGCGGCCGTCTGGAACGCTCCTCCATCCGATTTCAGGAATCCACTGGATCTATGCACTCAACTGAAATGTACATTTCTTTAGACATGCTTTATTGTTTAGTTGATTATCCCCACCCCCGCCCGCACCTCCGAGTAGAACGATTGGCTATGTACGGTGCGAAAGAAGTTCAGCATACATCCAGTACATCACGGCTGGATGAAATAAAAGTTTATTGTATTCAGTGTCGCGTCGAAGAAAGGGCCTCTTGTGGCAGAGACGGGCAGCCCACAATTGACGGATACCGTTTGTTCACGCGGCCTCCACGTGAAGAAGAGGTCGCAAGGCTGAGATCACACGCGCCTGCCCGGCCGAGGGAGACACGGGTCCCAAAGGCAACTGCCGAGAATCATCGCGATCCCCCAATACATCGTGGCAACATTTACAATACAATAAAAACTGTGCAGCGATAATCAAATCAAGGCAATTAGCCGGGGTGCCGCTAAATGTACGCAACGCAAGTACAGCAACGTCTAATCACCTGGTTTAACACGTAGGCTTTCGCGACCAATATTATTCATAATAAAGGTTTTTGGGTTAGATCGCGTTTATTTACAAATGTGTCGTAACCCTCCACCACCCGACACGGCCAATCAGCAAAAAAAAGTGTCTAATCACCTGCCATGATCTATCCACTGCAGACGCCATGTGATGCCGTTGCTGCATCTACGCGGCAGATTTCATTGTTCGCTTATCCCCTTTGTCTGCCATTCCATCGTTAGTCTCGACCACCGGTCATCACCCCTGCCAAGTGAAGCGTCCTGCCCGAGCCCGCTTATTTATTTCACGGTCGATATGATGACTCTAAATACGTATAAGGAAACGCGTTACTCCTACACAGGATTCCTCAAGCACATCGGATTATAAAAGGCACGTAAATGATTCATATTTTTAAATTAATATCATAGTCATCCCTTTATAATATAGGCAAATAATGAAGCTGAGGTTTTGCACACGAAATAAATGAATGCGATAATCAGACTGGATGACGTAGAACACCGAACAAAAGCATTGCAATCTCATATATTCCAAACTATAATTTATCCCGCCACCTCCCAATAACCCCCCTCCATCACCTCCCTCCCTCCATCACCTCCCTGCATCACCTTCCTCCATAATCTGCCTCTCTCAATCACCTCCCTCTCTCCATTACGTCCCTCTATGAATCACCTCCCTCGCCATCTTCCCTCCATCACTTCCCTCCTGTATCACGATCCCTCCTTCCATCACCTCCCTCCCATTACCTCCATCCCTTCACTACCTGCATCATCACCCTCCCTCCTCCATCACCTCCCACCCTCCCTCCCTTCATTAGCACTTCTCTCATTCACTTCCCTCCCGTCCTCCATTACCTCTCTTTCACCGCCGCTCCCCTCCCTCTCGGGGCAATGTTGGTTCTGCGCGCTGCTGCACATGAGCACATATTTCACTTGGTAAGGCGACGCGCTGGGGAGACGGGAGAGCTGCCGCTCGTCTCATTGTCCCGCCCCCGCTTCTGATTAAATCTCACAGCCGTAGCTGCTAACAGTAACCAATCATCACCAGCAGCAGCCATGATCTATCCACTACTGGATGAAGGCCTGTTAAATCTAGAGTGAAAACTCGTGTATTTTAGAACTGTTTTTGTGTTCAGTTTGTTGCCATTACTCCGCACCTCCGATTAGCACGGTTGGCTACGTACGGTGCGAAAGAAGTTCAACATACATCAGCAGCCATGATCTAACCACTACTGGATGAAGACCTTTGCAAGCCGTCACCACCGCTCACGACGATCCTGCGAGGCAATAATCCGCATGCGGTCGTAACCGTCTTGGATGATCCAGGCTTCGGGTGACACAATTGTTTAATTCGCGTTGGCGTCCGCTCGTGAGTGAATCGTCACGCACATTTCGGGAGTCCAACCCGTGCCCCAATGGCTCGGAGGCTGCACTGGCTGCGAATCTACTCGTCTGCTTCAATTGCCAACGGAGCGGACAGGCGACGTTCTTAAAATTATCCGCACATGTTTTGTGCGGATATGCGTCTTGTCTGCCTGTGGTGATGTCCGTCTATGTATGATGAGATACGCACGCGAAAAAAAACACGTTCTCAAGTGTGGTGAGTTGATGATGGTCTCAGCCCGGTCACCGATGACTGCACAAAAAAGGAACACAATTGCACGCCTGCAACTCAATTTTGGCCGTAATCCAGCTCGGGGAAAAAAAAAATCATTTCACTGTCATGCGACGAACTCTCTCTGAAGGAGGGGAAAGCTGCTGGATTGGTCGTAGTCCACTGCCACAAGGGGGGAAACCCCAACACCGCGAATAATATTGCCCTAAAAGGAAAACATATATCGGGGGCATTTCTGGCAAATTTAAATGTCTCTACTATGTATGAAGGTCATTGTCTAACATATCACCCATGTTATATCTCAACCCTTTCTGCCATCTCCGTCACCATCCCATTCAAAAGAAAGTGCTGACCAGCGCAGTGAAGTATGGTCAAACAACTCCCATGATCGACAGCGTCGCGAAGCCTTTATCCGGCAATGGTTGCATATTTTTTAAAAATATGCTGAGTAGCAGCACGATTGTTCTACGTGGATGGAGGCTCACTAAGCGACTGTCGTGCCAGCTTGTTTAAATGTACGTAGATGGAGGCTCACTTAACCGACCGTCGTGCCAGCTTGTTTAAACGTACATGGGTGGAGGCTCACTTAACCGACCGTCGTGCCAGCTTGTTTAAACGTACATGGGTGGAGGCTCACTTACTGTCGGCTACCAGCTTGTTTCGATGTACACAGGCGAAAGCGCTGCTGCCGCTACCGCTGCGTGCTGCTGCGTCTCGCCTATGCATTATGCATGGGGGCCGCAGCTGAAGTTCGTGTGGATCCATCACCGCGTGTGTGTGTGCGTGTGTGCCTGCGTGTGTGTATGTGTGTGCGTGTGTGTGCGCGTGTCCGCGGGGAGCGGTAATGTAGCGGTTAGCGGCGCTGCGCTGCGAACCCTGGCCACCCGAGTTCGATTCCCGCTCACGTCCAACACCGGTGACGATTATCTGAACCGATGCTGGGCCGCCCCTGGGTCGACTCAGCCTCAAATGAGTTCCTGGTGCGATGTGTAAACATCGACACTAGGGAGACAAAGGCGGCCAAGTGTGGTGTTGGCCACCCACCCCCTCGTGTGCTGTGCCGGCCTTCATAGGTGCTCGCTAACCGCACTTGCCCCTACAGTCTGCTAAGGCTATACGGGGGATCTTTGTCTTTTGTGTCGGCGGACAATTAACCCCGTCCACGGCGCCTTATTCTTATACACGCGACCCTCCACTCATACAGCTCACGCGTGGACGCTCCGTCTAATGAATGGCTCCTTCATAGAACAGTGTCCCGTATGATAAATTAAGCTAACCCCGGTTATTAAGTTCAATAAATAGTGCCGTGTGCACTCATGGACGGGGCGCTCAACTACGCCGTGACAGGAGTGGTGGGGGGCGGGGGGAGGGACTTCATTGCTCGTTCCGAACTTGGCCCCCGTCTCTCTCTCTCTCTCTTGTCTACTGCCATCACGTAGCTGCGGGTGGTGGGTGGATGGATACATGGGTGGTGGGTGGATGGGTGGTGGGTGGATGGGTGCATGGGTGGTGGGTGGATGGGTGCATGGGTCCATGGGTGGATGGGTGCATGGGTGGTGGGTGCATGGGTGGTGGGTGGATGGGTGGATGGGTGGATGGGTGCATGGGTGGATGGGTGGTGGGTGGATGGGTACATAGGTGGATGGGTGCATGGGTGGATGGGTGGTGTGTGGATGGGTCGATGGGTGGATGGGTGGTGGGTGGATGGGTGGATGGGTGGTGGGTGGATGGGTGGATGGGTGGTGTGTGGATGGGTCGATGGGTGGATGGGTGGTGTGTGGATGGGTCGATGGGTGCATGGGTGGATGGGTGGTGGGTGGA